CATGGGCAATAATGCCTTTTTTACACAGCCATATTAAATCCAGATTACCTGACTTAACTGGATTATATGGCAGTGTAGATTCTGTGATGGCATGCCCGAGTATTTGGGAAAATCATAGTGTCTGGCATTACTCGGGGGCTATCTGTATATCTTCTGTTAAGATTGAGACCCTTAACACACAGGGGCATTTTAGGCAAGGTGAAAAGATAACCAAAATGGGTTTACTGAAAGCAAGATGAATAAAGTGTTAACTCCACCCAGGACAATTATAAAGTAACTTAAAACAGTGCATTACAAAAGGAGCCTTAGCGGGCTATAGTCATTTCTCTGGAAACTTCTGCCCCTGGTGCAAAATGATGGTTTACAAGCTGTTGCTTATAAATTGTCTCAATCCTCTTTCTTGTGAAGCTTAAGCTGGTCAAGAGCTTCTGTTGTCACTGGGGCTGGTGATATAAGAATACTGCTGAATGCAGGTGCTAAGGATGCCTGTTTTTTTATTATTATTTCTTGGGCTTACGGTTACCAGACAATACCCGAGCTTCTATTCTCTGTAGCTCTGATGCAGAAAAAGGAGTCCAGCAATGGAGATCTATAATAGATCAAGATTTATTTGGGAATAAAATCCCAGCAGCTGACACCAATTATAAAAGATAGGGACTTATTGGGCAATATAAATCCCAGTGCTTGCCACCAGTTATAAAAGATAGAGACTTTACTTGGGCAATACAAATCCCACAGCAGCTGTACCACCACTTGTAAATAGAATGTGGCTTCTCTAAAGAAAAATCAAAAGCTGCACTAAGCTGGAACTTTCTTCTGGCCGAAAAAAACCTTTTAAAAGAACTCTGGCACCCACCAAACTTAAAAGCAATATTAAACCCTTGGCTTACTTAAAGTATCTTAGGCAAGAGTGTGCTTGATTCGCGCTCAGGCTTGTGTTCTGAGGTAACACTGAAAAGATTACTCTTTTAAAATATACACTGCCACCTTTTGTCTTTTGATTGCTGCAGGAAACAGCTTTTAAAACTTCACCCACGTGAGGCAAACGTGAGGCAGATGTTATGAACAATAAAACAATGATGTTTATTTAAGAGAACTTGAACAAAACAGGTAATAAACTTAGCTGTTCTGAAGTATTGACTTAAAAGTGCATGGTTTCTTTAAGCAGTTCAAACTTGGTTACACATAAACACCCCTCTTTCCCCTCCAGAAATTACTGACAGGATTTCTTCTCTGAAAGTAATTCTAAACTCCACCACAGATAGTCCTTTTCTGGATCTATCTCTACACTCCTCCACCACCTATCTTCTCTAAGAGCTGTAAAATCTTCTCACTAGCTATCTCTGCTAGCTAACTGATCAACTTCAGGCCGCTCTCTCTATTTTCTTCTCCACGCCAAACTCCTAACTCTTTCTCCTTTGACACCCAGACTCAAGCTGAGCTGACAGGGTTTTAAAACACACCCTTAAAGTCACCTTTTTCCCTTTTCTAAGTTAATCTCCACCCACTCTCTTCCAGCCAATCACTAACTCCCCTCATTTCCCTCCAAGCTGCTCCTAAGCATGACTCCTTCAAGAAATGAGATTTTAAAATGGACGCCCCTGGCAACCTTTCCAAAATGGCTGCCAAACTTCCTGGGCCTACTTTCCTAGGCTTTTCCTAGCCTAACAGTTAGGAAATTCATCACAAGCTCTATACAGGCAAATGGAATAGATCAACTGAGGCTGGCCTCTTGGGGGGGGGGGGTGATTAGGCTCCACCCAAAAACTAATACAATGGAAGGTATCTACACTATTGGAAAAACCTATACACCAGGGGAAGTGAAGCAGAGGAGAGGAAAAGGCAGAGCTAAAACTTCACAGATTCATACAATCCAGTTCAAAGCTGATAATGTGAATTATCTGCTTTGATAATCTGGATTATATGGTAGTGTAGAAGGGGCCTAAGCAGAAGACTCTCTGAAATCAAAGCTGTTTGCACATGGTTGAATGTGTTCGGCTATCTGCAAACTACTGTGTTTCACCACTTACCAAGAAATGACCTCATCACTATTCTCTAGTTTCTCAAATAAAGTTTTTTCTTAGTTTTGCAGTTCAGCAGACATTGAAGCCTTGGCAATGGTCAGGGTTTCTCATTTGGTAAGACGAAAACTGGTTGTAACAGATGGTCCATTTCCTGTTACTTTAAGAGGATAGGTATTTAAAACATTGCATATCTTTAGTTTGTACAGGAGTGATTTTCAGACTGATCTTCTATCAGGAGTGATTTTCAGACTGATCTTCCATATGTTCTTGATTTAATTTCCAGAATCTCAGGCCCCTTCATGAACAGGTTGAAGTCAAAGAACAGAGGTGTTTCTTCACCTTGGCCAAAGTGATATTAGCAGAGTCTGTGCTTCAGAGATTGACATATACACTATTGCAAAAATACAGATTTATTTACAGCACTTTGATAGTGATTCAAAACAAAGGACTTTGCTGCCCTGGATGCTAATTGGTTCAAACTAGGGTGGTCTAGGATCCCCTTGCTGGTTGTTTGAGAAGTGTTCTCCACTGGTGTTGTTGATTGGCTCATGGGTTTGGTGGGAATTTTAAGAAACTGCCATTTCTCAGTTTGAAGTCATGTGGCTGTTTCTTTGGTCCTCCTATGGACAGGTGTGGGAGGAAAAGAATCTGGGAAGAGTCTGTGTTAATGGGGCAAATAGCTCCATTCTTGTCTACCTGGAATGAGACAATGACTTTTAGCTGGCCACACAATGGGTGCCAGGATGTTGGCACAACCTCAATGAATTCCCTGGGAGGGGTTCAGATCAGGTGATTAGGATTGAGAAGTGTTCCCAGTGATAAGGCTTTGAAAAACCACATGGCTCTCTTTAAACCCATTGTGACATTCCCAGGATATTGTGAAGAATTTTTTCTTCTTCCAGGATTGAATAATGAAGTGCTCCCTGGGGTGTATGTGCTTGTACAACTTCGATGAGTTCATTCAAAAGTTGCCTAGAACTGAGGAAAGGTCATTTGTGGGCCTTGATTCTGGGGCTTTCTGATGCTGAGCACTGCATTCTGGAAAACAGAATTTAGGGCAGGGCTTTTTGCATTCTCTGTCACAGGATGCCTCACCTTCCCAAACTACATTTTCCATATTGCTATTTTCTGTCTCTCACCCAACTCTGCTAGTCTCACCCCCAACTTCCTTTCCTTATGGCAACTGGCCAAAAAAGCAGCCTTGGTTTTTAAAAACACTTAATGTCCTCTTGATTTGATTGCACACTCAAATTTTTGGTTTTTGTGGTCCTCTGTTAGGAGTTTCGGGACCCAACGGGAACACAGTTTCCTAAACTTTAGGTGTTCTCACGAATCCTTGCTTCAACTGATGCCACCAAATCGTCTGTAATCAAAGAAGGGCGACCGGAGCGGTCCTCATCATGGACGTTGTCACGGCCATCTTTGAATTGTCATACCCACTTACACACTTTGCTTTCACTCATAACAGTATCACCGTACACTTCACAAATCTGTCGATGAATTTCTGCAGCAGGCAGGTTCCTTGCTGGCAAAAACCGTATCACTGAGCGAACCTCACATGCGGAGGGTGAGTTGATAGTCTTAAACATTTTTAAAGCACAGAACAGAACCATACAGGTTAGCTACAGAGCGGAAACTGAGCACAGTTGTTCCCAAGGCATGCCGGTACACGACACACGTGCTCATTGAGGTATGCGTGCGAACTACTAGTGTCTACAACAAAATGGACCTTACTTTAAAAATACCCTCGTAGAATTTTTGTAATGTTTTTATGTTTTGACTGTACTGTGATGTGCCTTGAGCCATGAGGAGAGGCGGGTAAGAAATAAAATTATTCTTATCTTCATCATCATCATCATTATCATCATTGTTAAAAGTATTTCAATCCTTATGTTTTTTCAATGATCAGCCTTCATCAGAGGAATGAAAAACATATCTGAGCCACTCTTATTGGTTCTGTTGGGAAGCCACCACCTTTCACCCACATTTACATTTGTAGTTAATCATGTTAGCATTATGCCTTATCAGCTTTCCAACAAATATTGCAGAAGAGCCAAATAAGTCAATTGTTCCAAGAACCATCACCTATAGCCATCAGAGCTATTTGCATTTGTTCTTCTTTGGATCATGAAATTTTTCAACTATTTCTCCACTCCAGCAGGTAAACATAAAAACTTTGTAACAATTGCCTAAAACCAGAGTATGGTGTTTTCCTATTCTAGCCACCCACCCACTCCCCTTTTCCTCTTATGTCATGTTCTGTGACTGCCTTGCTATTTATCTTTATTGTTTACTAGCTGTACCCGCCACGCGTTGCTGTGGCCAACCTTCCCTCCCTCTTTCTCTCCTTTTGTCTCTCCTCCCTTCCCTCTTTTTCTTTCCCTTCTCTGTTTCTTTTCTTGCTTCCTTTGCTCTTTGGTTCCATTCTTCCTTGTCTCTTTCCGTCCTTCCCTCTTTCTTTCTCTCTTTCATTCCTTCTCTCCTTCCTTCCCTCTTTCACTTTATTTCCTTTTCTCCTTCCTTCCCTACCCTTCTTTCCTTCCTTTTCTCCTTCCCTCCTCCTTTCTCTCTTTCTCTCATTCCTTGTCTACCCTTTTTCTTTCTTTCTTTCTCTCCCCTCCTTCTCTCCTTCCTTCCCCCTTTCTGTGTATGTTGTGTGTGTGTCTGTGTGTGCATATATGTGTGTGTATATATATGTGTGTTTGCGTATATATGTGGTTTTGCGCATGCGTAATGTAATTTTTGTTTTTTGGCCTTTTAAATCCCTTCTGCTGCATTTTTCAGTGTTTTTATGAGTGATGGTCACTCCTTGGGTTAGCAGGTGTATTGTGTCCAAATTTGGTGTCAAATCGTCCAGTGGTTTTTGAGTTATGTTAATCCCACAAACTAACATTACATTTTTATTGATATAGATGTTATACGTTTTTAAAATGCAAAATGAGGTTTAAAAACACATGTGAATAAAAAAGTATTTCTGTGGGTTGGTTTACTTCTTTTGAAATAATTGTACAAGGCACATTTATTGATCTGATAATACATTGGTAAATTAGGAGAAGGGGCTTATGAGGGGTTGGAGCAGCAGCCAGAAGATGGTTCAATGACTTTAACAAGACAGAATCACTCAAGAGAGAACAACAGAAAAGTGGTCTTCAAAAGGGTTACAGGGCATAGGCATTTATCAGCTTCTGTGGTGGATTTCTGCTTCTGGATGCCTAATACTGTAAAAGAAGAAAAGAAGAAGAAAAATAATTTGTAATCTCTGATACAAAGTTAAAGCAAGTTAATAAAAATAAGGGAAAATGCCCATTTAGTTTTTAATAAACCTGGCCATGTTGTTGTCAGAACAGAACTTTGCGCCATCTCTCTGTGGCTTAGATTCTATATCAGGATTCATATCATTTAAAAACTATCATTTAACAGGCAAAATGGCTGTGCTGCAAAAAAATCCTGCCAATCTGAAGGTAAACAGTTCAAGCCCAGGTTGGGATTGAGTACCTACCATTAGCCCCAGCTCACCTGCCCACCTAGCAGGTCAAAAGCAGAAATGCAAGTAGATAAAATAGGTACCGCTTTTAGCAGGGAGGTAATAAAGGCATTCTTAAGGACATTAAGCTCCTTGGCATGGAAGATGGAGCAACAACACTCACCCACCTCGCCACCAATGGCCAGAGTCAAGCACAGCCTCAGAGATGCCAGAAATAAGATGGCAGAAACTGCCTTTACCTCTTGTGTTGTCTGTCTGTCCCTGTTATTGTATAATCAACATTGAATGTGTGCCATATGTGTGTTATGTAAAGACGCTGAGTCCCGTTCAGGGTGAGAAGTGCAGAGAATAAATACTGTAGATAAATAATCATGGCCCCATTCATTTCATATGGTTTTCATAGATAAGAGGTATTCAGAGGTAGTTTGACAGTTCCTTCCTTCAAAAAATAGCCCCCAGGATCCAGTATTATGGTGCCTTTTGCAAGTACAAACCAGTCCTGACCAATCTTTGTTTCCAAAATTTGACAGGATCTGGTGCATAGGGTTAATTATCACATACAGAGTTATACTTTGCTTGTGCTACACAAGGCTTGTGATGTGTGGCAACAAAGTGCAGCTAGATAAAAAGACACTGAATGTGCAATTGAATATAGAACCAAGTGTGCATGCATACTGATTCATAATGGATACTGCTTATCCATACAAAATGTGTAATGCACATTCATATGCAATGACACACAATGCACTGTTCTCCTTCTGTAACCTTGAATTTAATATAACTATTTCATATCAGAAAAAAAATTCAGCCATTTTCTACAGTGGAACTCTCTGCCCCGAGTGTGGTGGAGGCTCCTTCTTTGGAAGCTTTTAAACAGAGGCTGGATGGCTATCTATCAGGGGTGATTTGAATGCAATATTCCTGCTTCTTGGCAGGGGGTTGGACTGGATGGCCCACGAGGCCTCTTCCAGCTCTTTGATTCTATGATTCTATGTTTCTACTGAAAATAGGATGCTAAAATTGATGGACTTTGTCCAAGATCATGTTTGGATTCTTCTGTGATCAGTAGAAGTTGGTGACTCTGATATCATGTAACAGGAAACCTACCACAGTCTTTAATTGAGTGGTTTATTTCCCATACTTGTACCCTGCCCTTTTCACCCTGAAGGGGACTCAGGACAGCCTCATAACTGGCAACATTTGATGCCCAACAAATAAACAAATCCCAAAAAATAATAATTACAATTAAACCAGCAATAAAACATAAATGGTAAAAACAGCCATTAAAATCACACAGGTTCAAAATCATAGTCCAGAATCAGTCCATTAGTCTGTCACTTTAAGTGATCTCAAGTATTGCATTGCTATAGTTACTGTGTGAATGCTTGGTCCTATAAACATGTCTTAAAACAGGATGGAGGGGGCTATTCTGATTTCATTGGGGAGGGAGTTCCACAAACAAGGGGCCACCACTGAGAAGGCCTTGTCTCTCGTTCCCGCCAGTTGTGCTTGCAAGGGTGGTGGGATTGAGAGCAGGGCCTCCCCAGATGATCTGAGTCTCCACAATGGTTCATAGGAGGAGCTATGTTTGGATAAGTAAGATGGGCTGGAAGTGATTCACCTTTGCGGGGGGGGGGGGGGGGGGGGGGGGGGTATGAGTGTGGGCATGAGTTGGGGGATAGTACCTTTAAAGTTTGAACTCAATCCAAAGGAGATGCACTACTCCATTCACATGAGAAAGCACACCCTCATTGACTATGGTGACAAGTTGTGATTATTCCACTCATATAGAAACAAACCAGTATTCTGCCATAGGTGGTATGATAGAAAAAGATCACTTGCTCAGAAACACCCCCTCCTTTCTATTTCTGTCTTACTCAACCCTGTACAAAAAAGTCTAAAACGCTACTCACCCAGACAATGGGGCCATTGTTAGTGTTCTGCAGAACAAAAACAATAGTAAAGATACATTATTTGTGTTCTAATCCATTTGTGCAAATCCAAATCCAGTTCTTTCACTTCTATATTGCAGTCTACAGAACCACCTGAGAATGCTAAAAAATTCTATAATGTAACTTCTATTTTTTCCCCTACAGGTATAGCACCATACTCTCATTTGAAGTGTCATGACTTCATCCAGTAGAATCCTGGGATCTGTAGTTTGGTGAAGCACTACAGTTGCCTAACCAAATATTTACCACAAAAAAGATCCCAGCATACCAAGGTAACTATCCATGGTACCTATTATAAAACTGGTGCCAAAATTATGCAATGTGAAATAGATCTATCTAACAAAGTGATGGATTCTGCCTCACTGAGTGCTTTCAAACAGAAGTTGAAGGGTCATATATTAGATCTGTCCCATCTGTTGATTCCTCCATTAGCATAGGATTAGAATAAATAGCATTCGAGACCAATTATTCTATGACCTTCACTTCCAAGATTCTTTGAATCATGATGGTGCAAGCAGGAAGAGAAGTCTTAATACACAGTTTTAATTTGAATTAATGTTTTCCATTGATGTTTGTTTAGAAACTTTACTATGACCATTTAATCTGAATGGAAAACAATAACTGTACAGAAAAAATAATAGTAATAGAAGGTAAGAGGGACTACTTGGAATAGAAAACATTTGGAGCAGAAAAAGAATATTTGGAAATTAAATTGTACAAGGAAATTTCTTGGTGCTAGAGAGCTATTCAAGAGGAAGCAAAGAAGAAACTCCATGACCCATGGACAGTTGGGGCTGGTGTGATCTATGGATGGAATTGAGGACTTTTGGAAGCAGCAAATGTTTCTGTTTGTTAGGGGTACTGAATACTGTATATTATTATTGCATCCATTTTGTTAGAGATCACATGGGGTTAGCAAGATGCCAACTTGCTGATTTATCTGGAAGGGTTTGGAAGAATATCCTAAAACACGAGGAAAAACAAGTGTAGAGACCTCACAGGCCTCAATAGCAGTGATGCAGGTGATGTGGGGCGTTTAACACCAGTTTCACCTGCTGCCCAATGCTGCCCATTGGATTCCTCCGCTGTCCCACAGTTTAAAGACCTCAATGTCTGCCCATGTTTTAGAAAGTACTTTTACCAGGCAAAAACTGTGCATATTTTCTTGAGGGCCAGGAGTCTTGTACAGAAGGTGGATTTTGTTGTACGGAGCTTTCACTTCTGTCTTGAAAAGAGATGTGGAGCAGCAGAGAATAACAAGTAGCTCTTTATATGATCTTGGGCTTCAGCTCCCTTTATCTCTCACAACTAGATATTCTGGCTATAGATAAAATGAGTGCTGCAGTCCATTGGTTACTAGCAGACCACACTTGCCCATTCCGGATTTTGAATATTTATGATGGGGTTTTAAAATATGAGTTGAGTCCAAACTTTGGGGAAAAAATGTTACACCAGGAATTAATTGATGAGAGAAGCTGAGGAACATATACAGGTCTCTGATACTTACTCCATTGTCATTGAAGCTGTTGTCACCAGCATTGTTGTTATCAAAACTTCCACCGTTCTAGAAACAGAACAGAAGAGGATATTTTAATGATTGGTGGTTCTCTGGATAGCAGTGGAAGATGTTAATGTGGCATAATGGTTTGAGTGTTGGACTATTATTTATTTAAAGCATTCATATTCTGCCCTTCTCACCCCAAAGGGGACTCAGGGCGAAGCACAGCATATATACTAAACGGTTCTGGCCCAGTTTACCTGTCTGAACATATCTCCCTCAATGAACCATCTAGGACCATTGCAGTCACGTTTAGTGGGGACGAGAGACAGGGCCTTCTCTGTGGTGGCCCTTCAGCTGTGGAACTCCCTCCCTAATGAGGTTAGATCTGCCCCCTCCCTTCTGACCTTCCAGAAGAAACTTAAATCCTGGTTATGGGATCAAGCATTCACAGAATAGTGTGTTTTACTGGAGAAGACAAGATTCTATTGAACCGTACTTGGACTAATTGGATGACGATTTTAATCTGGTGAATTCAATTTGGCAAACTGGTTCTAATGTATATTTTTAACTATTTTAATGTATATGTATGTATTTATTATGTATTTTATATTATGTTTGGCATTGAATTGTTGCCTGTTTGGAAGTCGTTCTGAGTCCCTCCTTGGGGGTCAAGAAGGACAGAATATAAATGTTTAAAAGAAATAAAAATAAAATAAATATACGACAAACATTCAATGCCGGAACATAAAATAAACGATAAAAATACATAAACACTAAAATTAGAAATTTCCACTTTAAAATCAATTGTTTAAAACCATCTCAGATCAGTCATACCCAATCCGGTCAGCACGGAAAAGTTTCCTATTGTTGTCTTATTGCACTGTCTGAAAGGCTTGATCCCACAGTTTTTACCATCCTTCTGAAGGACAGGAGGGAGGGGGCTGATCTAATCTTGCCAGGGAGACAGTTCCATAGTGTTTATGGAGAAGGTCCTCTCTCTTGTCCCTGCCATTCATGCCTGTGATGGTGGCAGGACCGAGAGCAGGGCGTCCCTGGAAGATCTTAATCTCCGTGGTGGTTCATAGAGGAGATGTGTTCAGACAGGTAGATTGGGGCAGAGCCGTTTAGGGCTTTATAGGCCAAAGCCAGCACTCTGAATTGTGCTCAGTAGCAAACTGGCAACCAGTAGAGCTGATACAACACGAGAGTTGTGTGCTTTGGGAGACCATGGTTCAAATTCCCAATCAAGCATGGCAATCATGGCATATAAAAGTGAGAAGTCATGGTGACAAGGGCCACCATGGATTTAGGGAATTTTATAATATTCCCTTATTTACAAGACATAACAACAATAAGGAGATACAGGCATGAACAGCTAGCCTTGGCACTCAACATCCATGGGCAGCTAGTATATCACAAATGTCCAGCAGGACTGATTTCCAGCCCTATGTTTCTTGACACCTACACACTACAGTTGGAAGATGGATTCAAGATATAGATAGATCACATATATACTTGTCGATACTTACTCCATAAGCTGCAAACCCATATGAGTTCTGCAATATAAAAAAACTGAAATTTAGAATATCTCATAATAATTTGCATAGCACAATTTTCCTCTGCTTTGAAATTAGACCTCCTTCTTGAGAAGAGATGATTATACAAAGTTGATTGAGAATGTATTCCATGCAAATCTTACTATAAAAATCTATTTCTATGTAATCACTTATCTATGTGGTATCAAAGAGAAGGAAGCAGAATTGGGAGTTAGTCACACCTTTACAGAAACAACATGTAGCTATATAATATAGAGCAGAACTATTGATCATCTGAAAAATCAAAGGAATTCTGGACTCACTCCATTGTCATTCATGCTGCCACTTCCGACATTGTTGCCATCAAAGCTGCCTGAATTCTGCAAGGAAAAGAAAATCACCCTGTTAGGTCAACTACTGGAAAGAGCAAAGAGAACTCCATGTAAGATAGTCATCATGAGGATTCAGTGGCACCAACCAGTTCAAGAATCTGAAATGTATTTCTGGAAAGAATCTGGATGAGGAAGCCAAATTAAATAAATGGGAAGGAAAGCAGTGACAAAAAAGACTGAGGAAGAATATAAGGGAAGCAGAAAACAAGCACCTAGCCATAGTTGAAAGAAAGATATGGTTGCCAACTTTATTCCTCCTCTTCTTTCAGCAGCAATCTGTCCGATGTGTAGAAATTAAACAAGTGCAGGTTTCTGCAAGCATTGCTCACTAAATGTCTGGTTAAACCACTGAGCTGCTAAACTTGTTGACCGAAAGGTCGCAGGTTCAAATCCAGGGAGCGGCATGAGCTTCCACTGTCAGCCCCAGCTTCTGCCAACCTAGCAGTTCGAAAACATACAAATGTGAGATCAATAGGTACCACTCCAGCGGGAAGGTAATGGCGCTCCATGCAGTCATGCTGGCCACATGACCTTGGAGGTGTCTGTGGACAGCGTCGGCTCTTTGGCTAAGAAATGGAGATGAGCACCAACCCCCAAAGTCGGACACAACTGGACTTAATGCCAGGGAAAAACCTTTACCTTCATCTATTATAGTAAAAGGCATATGAACCAAGTCAGAAAATGTGTTGTCATGGGCTTTCATGGCTGGAATCACTGGGTTGTTGTGAATTTTCTGGGCTGTATGGCTATGCTCCAAAGCATTCTGACGTTTTGCCTGCATCTATGGCAGGCAACACCAGAGGATGTGAGGTCTCGCAACCGCTGAGGATGCCTGCCACAGATGCAAGTGAAACGTCAGAAGAGAATGCTTCTGGAACATCACCATACAGCCCAGAAAACACACAACAACCCGTCAGAAAACGTTGGCAACCCTAACAGCAAGGGCTAGATAAGAGCCAAAGACTGAAGCAAACCAATTCAGAAGGCAAGTTAATTTGAGATGAACATCCCTAAGATTTGATATTCTTATTTCCCATTTAATGTTTGCTCCATCTTTTTCCTGCATTCGTTTGGAACGAAAAAGAAAACAAATGTTCTGATGCATTCCTGTGTGCATTATCCTAATGCAAACAATTCCAATTTGCATTTGGTTAATGTACACATTTTTGAAAATGTTCTCTGATGTTTTTAACATTTTCCCAATATTATGCACATTTTGTGAGCAGCATTTGTTTATATTGTTTCTTGTGGAAATAGTTTATATTCAGAAAAAGTACACTGCAAATCCCCCTAGGAGAAATGCATTCTGAGTGATATAATGATCCATCATGTGCAAAATAGAGAAACCAATTGTGAAATCCTGAAATCTATCAGTCTTAGCCCTAGAGCTGGCTATGGAATCTGTAGTGAACTCTGAAACCTGGTTCTGTAATAAATAAAGCAAGACTGGCAGAATCAGTGCTTCAGGGGCAATGTGAAGGACTGTTCTGCAAAGTAAAAACAATTAACTGCTTTGAAAAAGTCGGTAAATTTTAGAATAGAGATAGCTAACATTGAATTGGTGAAATTTTAAATTAAAATTTGGCTTCCTGTAGTTGGACACCCTGCTCCAAATCCTTTTAAACTACAACTCATATCATCGTATTGGCTACCTTGGTTTGGGCTAATGGGAACTGCAATCCAGTAACACATTTTCCCTCTTTTTAAGAGAACACAGACAGCCAAAGTAAAAAAAAGATGAAAGAGTATAGAAATGGCAGCAACTAATAACTTCAAACTCCAGGTATTTGGAGCAGTGTCCAACTACAGGAAACCAAATTTTAATTTTAATATTCACTAATTTCTTTTTGAAAACTTCCATCAATTTTTGCACAGGAGGTAGAATTTTGTGTGCAGAAAATACTTCTCTCTCTCTCTCTCTCTCTCTCTCTCTCTCTCTCTCTCTCACACACACACACACAAACAAACAAAACCTTGTGTGACTGTTGCACAGAATAAGTTTCAAACTATGATAATTCTCATTAATGCAGGATTCTTCTCATAATGGTTTTTCAATACTCAAGAAACATCTTTTCCACCATTTTGGAATATTTTCCCCTTCCCTCCTTTTGTATCTTTGGCAATAGCTGTCCATGCAGGATTTAGCAAGTGGTGCTGGTGATGATGACTTCTAGTTATGTTATTAATTGTCTACCTTATGTAGCCCCCAATGGGTTAAACCCTTGTGCCGACAGGACTGCTGACCAACAGGTCAGCAGTTTGAATCCAGGGAGAGCAGGTTGACCTCCCTCTGTCAGCTCCAGCTCCCCATGCGTGGACATGAGAGAAGCCTCCCACAAGTAGGATAAAACATCAAACATCCAGGCATCCCCCTAGGCAACATCCTTGCAGACGGCCAATTCTCTCACACCAGAAGCAACTTGCAGTTTCTCAAGTCACTCCTGACACAAAAAAACCTTGTGTAGTTTATTGTATCATGTTTTATGCATTATTTATGTTGTGAGCTGCCATGAGTCCCTTTGGAAGATGGGTCAGGATATAAATAAAGATTATTATTATTATTATTATTATTATTATTATTATTATTATGAACATGAAACATACATTGCTCATGAACTGCTGTAGATTTATTAGAAATTTAAAATATGAAATGTGAGGGTTGGAGTGGGGTGGAGCTATATTTGAATCATCACCACAAACCAAAACACAGACATACATGTATCTCCTGGTTCCTAATTCTCGTTTCCGTAAACCATGCTTATCCTTACCCTGGGTGCAGCTCTGGCCCCCTCCAGGGAGAGCAGACAGATAACAAGAAATGCAGCTATCACTTGGAATTTCATCCTGGTGTTGCTTCTTTTCTGTCCTGAGTGAAGTTTGGGAATTATGGCGAACAGAAGGGTTCTATATTTATATTGAATGTTATCATGGGCTGTGCCAACCTCTATGTGCCTCGCTCTGTGACTCCACCCTAGAAAGACCCAAAATCTGTGTCTCCCACACTTATCCAATCCTGGGTCCACAAATTCCTAATATTCCCAGGCTGCCTGCTCTCTTTTGTTCATTTTATTCATTGTTTCTCTATGTTTGTTCTGTCATTAGTCACTTTTCTGCTTTGAATTTGTGATATCGGAATGTCAGGGATATCTGACCTGGTAAGCAATTCTGATTGGCTCTCTGGATTAATCACAAAGCCAAGACAAAGCAAAGGCAATTCTTCCTTCCCTTCTTTGGTCTCTTTTCTTATGGATAGCAACATAAATAGTGATCAGAAGCAAGAACAGGTTGTGTGAATGAGAGGTTTGGAAGCCTGTTTGGAAGCCGTTCTGAGTCCCTCCTCGGAATATACCCCCCAGAGCTGATCCAAAGTCAGTTTGACTTTAGGGGTATTCTTGACATCCTTTTTTTTTGGTCCTTTTTGTCCTATGACTTGTCTATAAGATAGTATATATATTATATTATAGATACATGTGTGTTTGTGTTTTGGTGTGTAATGATGATTCAAATATAGCTCCAACCCTCACATTTCATATTTTAAATTTCTAATGCATCTGCAGCAATTTGTGAGCGCTGCATGTTTCATGGCCCGTTGTTGTTGTTGTTGTTGTTGTTGTTGTTGTTGTTGTTGTTATATGACTTGTCTATAAGGTGCCCCCGGTGGCACAGTGGGTTAAACCCTTGTGCTTGGCAGGACTGAAGACCGACAGGTCGGAGGTTTGAATCCGGGGAGAGCAGGGATGAGCTCTCTCTATCAGCTCCAGCTCCTCATGCAAGGACATGAGAGAAGCCTCCCACAAGGATCATCAAACATCAAAACATCTGGGCATCCCCTGGGCAACGTCCTTGCAGACGGCCAATTCTCTCATACCAGAAGTGACTTGCAGTTTCTCAAGTCACTCCTGACATGATTTTAAAAAACCAAACTTGTCTATACTGTTTTGAAAATTCCATTCCATGTGACATTTCCCTGCTCTGCAGTGACCCTACAATGACCTTTTTAATGCCACACACATTATGGGGAAATCATTATAACAAAATACACATTTCCTCACAATGAACTCACTGTCATTTCACAGTTTGATATGCAAATCTTACTGTAAAAATATATCTACTTCTGTGTAATCACTTATCTATGTGGTATCAAAAAGAAGGAAGTAGAAACAGCTGGGAGTTAGCCACACCTTTACAGAAACAATATGTAGCTATATTGACACCAATCCTGCTGCTATCGATACTAGTGCACTTTACCATCTTTAATACACTGGAAGGAGCAGGTAATTTCAAGGGGAGGGAACATCATGACCCAATTATATGTGACTACACTTATCATCAAGCACTAACATATGGAACAACAATAGATGGAAATGGAGGGTATGTCCCCGGGGGGGATGGGTCCATGGGTGGGGGCGCCGCCATAGGGGTGGTGACAGGCAGAGGGAGATACGGGAAAGGGAGAGCAAATTATTTATTTCGGCCCAAAATTCACAATAATAGATTGGCAACCTCCAAAGATGCTAATAACCCAAGGAAAAATCAAATCCGGCCAAAAATTTATAACAGAACATTGGCAATTCCAAAAATTGAGACTACAATTCGGCCCGAAATTAGTAAAGACAGATTGGCAGCTTTAAAACATCCACCTGAGACTTCCGGTGGGTGATGGCGACGGGAAAGCTGCATTGAGAGGGAGCTCCGATGCAGACCAGCGTTGAGGCGCCTTAAGGGTGAGATTAAGCTCCCCCACCATCACCAGATTGAGTGTGAAGGTGTAGAGTAACCCGTGGGAGGCTCGTAGACCCCAAATACTCCCTTCCCTCAAGGAGGGGGGTAAAGAGGGTCTGAGCCGACGGGAGAACAGGCGCCCCGCTGGGATCGGGCATTGACCCGTTTCAACCGCTGCCAGCCCATGCAACAAATACGAAGAAGAAATTAAGAAACTCAAAAGAGAAATTAAAGAATATCTCAACATCAGGTAAAAGATTTGAACAGAAGAGGAGAAGGAAGGAAGAAGATAGATAAGGAGACAAAATCAAGGGGGAACCTTTCCCCCCCGAAATTTAAAGCTATATTTTAAAACCCGGAAAGGGCTATTGTGAATAGATCAATTTGGATAATACTTATCAAATTACATAGTTACTCGCCGCTTATTGATTTATTTTGGCTTAGATAATTAACTAAACAATATTAATTAAACTAAATTAAAATAAGCATTTGGAAGACAGGGAAACGAATGAGATAAACTGAAAGAAGTGAGAAGATATTATAGGCTGTGAGAGTCCCCCTCCTCCTGCCCCCCCCCGATTCCCTTATCCTCCCACTCAGCCTAGTAGTTAACGAAGAAGGAAAATTCCTGACCTTGGCGCCATATTGTTGTGTCTAACTGGCACTCTTCTTTATAAACAAAAGGAAAGGACAAGGCAGGAAGTGACAAAGAGGAAGTGACGAAGAAGAAGGCTGTGGGAGGAAAGGGTGGAGAAACAAAGAAAGGGCGGAAGAGCTTCAAGAAGGGCGGAAGTTGGGAGGAGGAAGTTGGAACCATAGAGAAACCATAGAGAAACCATAGAGAAACATCACTACAGAGCGACAGAGCAGCAAATACAGTGTAAATCCTAAACAAATAGATATTTAAGGTCAACAGTGGCTGAAAGTTAGAGAAGAACATCGGGGATAAGAAGCAGACGTGGAGCTAGGACGAGAAGCAGACGAAATTCAAGGACGAGAAGCAGACGTGGAGCCAGGACGAGAAGTAGACGAAACTCAAGGACGAGAAGCAGATGAGACCCAAGGAAGAGAAGTAGACGTAAATAACAGAAAGAGGAGAAGAAGCTGAAATTAGAATAAGAAGGAATTGAACAGGAAAGCTGCAAAGACAGGAAAGAAAAAAGAATTAGAGGAAAATATAAATCAATTAATATTAATATAACTAAATTGGATTTAATGAATTTTTAAGGAATTGATCTACTCTATAATAAATTAGTTAGAAAATATTTGATGAATGAATTGATATAAGAAATTATTTGAAGAGAATAAATTAAAATTAAAATTAAAGTGATTGAGGAGGAATAAAACCAAATATTTGGACTAAAGGGATTAAAAGGTTATCCAGCTTAAAGATTTGGTTGGGAAGTTGATGTCAATGAAAGGAAAATCAGATAAAGAAAAACTTCAAGTAAGGAGAGCTTCACTAGATACCAGCTTAAGCATGGAGAATATACTTAAGGAAATTAAAAAACTATCGGAAAAACAAGATGCAACAAAGAAGGAGATGGTTGAAAAACAAGAGGAAATAAAGAAAGAGATGGTGGAGAAGCAAGAAGCACACTTCAATAAACAAGAAAAGAACTACAAAAAGCTGTCGGAAGAGTTTAAAGATATGAAAAAAGAGATGCAAGAAGAATTTGGCCAAATTAAAAAAGATATAACCCAGTTACACGGAGAAGTGAAAGAACTAAAAATTAGTAAAGAAAAAATAGAGGAAACACAATCTCAGATCTTGAGGAAGATTAAAGCGAGTGATAAACAAAA